GCATAATACGAGCAAAAAAGGGCATAATTTCCGTGATCGCTTCGAAACCTGACCAATATTCCGGTGATAAGACATTGCGTGTGATCACAGTTCATGTTTCTATATGAACGATTTCGTGTGAGTCGTGAGGTAGCAAATTAGCAAATACGGTTAGACAAAATAGTCTGTATAATTTAATATATCACTTTGTCGCCTATGTGCTTAGTCTGTTTTATAAGCCTATAAACACATCTTTTCTCGGCGGAAGGAACTATATTTTTTCGAATGCGTTTTTTCCCACCCACTTTCAAAACTCGGCGCGGGATCGGCGCCTCCTTTTCATTTTTGCGCCCTGCAAGAATTGCCAGCTGGGGGGGCCGTGGCCCCCCGGCCCCCCCTGCCAGCACGCCACTGGGCAAATATAGCCTCAAATGTGGTAAATAGACGCAGGGAAACTATAACTTTCTTTCCCTTTATAGATTTTGCCATGGTATAGTACATTTTGAGGTCGTCGTGGCTTCACGGATTATTCTCATTAGTGAGCAAGTCAGCAAGCGAAGGCATACAAAAGATACCCAAATATGTACGAATAATTATATTGTCGATCCTCGCTGGCATGTCATTTAGATAAATATATATATCGTACATTAAACGTTGTACTGTTTTAATACTGTATATTAACTGCTGACAATTTCGTCGTCGATACGGCTTCCACTATTGGCACACTCGTGATTTCGAAGAAATTAATAAATACATGCTCATTTATCATTTATTTAGACCACAGTTAGTAAAATTTTAAATGTATTCGGTATTCCAAATCCCAATCTATCTGACCGTATTTTAGTAATAGCTTCAAAATATTCAGAACATTGTTCTTTCAGTCGCACATAGTACAAGTATTACTGTACATTCAAAGCCAATGGTAGTTTATTCGGCTTTATATTTGTACGTGTATTGATATCTATTTAATATTTGAAGAATTCTATATTTTTCCGAGTAATATATTGTGCGGCCCGCTAATGCTTTGTATTATTATTGTTCATGTTGCACAATGTACACGCCTTGCGTCAATTTGACAGTTGACAGTTTATTTATCGCAGTCGACGCTGATTGGTTAGCGTTTAGCAGATGCGAAAAGGGGATGAATGAATAAAACGCATGGTTCCCAATCTCGTTCCCAGAGTATGCCTGTTCGCGGGTTAGGTTGTGGCATGACTCTGGGGAAATCGAATCGAAATCGTTATTTGATTGGCTGCCGCGATCATCAATGCTGCCGACACAATTAATGCGTGTTTTTTTACGAGAATTACGCGTGGACATACGCGAAGAGAGAATTATCAATGTTTATCAGATTTGGAATGCGAAATCAAACAATATAAATCGAAGGATATATTATATTAATCGTATGAAAAAGTAGTGGGACATTGGGTATATACTTACAAAATGGCATGGTATTTATGAATGACTTTTTATCGATCTACAGTATGAGTATATTTATTATAACCATGGAAGAATTGGCTAAATGAAATCATCGCACACGTCGTTGTTTTGACAAATTGTTGACAAAGGACTTTGGAGTGACAGCTTTTGCTTGTGTTAAAAACTTGAAGCTTTAAACAATATAGTACATTATGGTCAGCACTCAACATGTTGTAGCCTGTGGTCTTTGTGCTTTTGTAAATGGACTTATCTATATATTAAATTTATTTAGATGCCAGGTGTTTTTGTAGCATCTATACTGAAATTATAGAATAATTGATTTAAGACATTTGGTTATAGACTTGCTATTGATTTAAAACATTTGGTTATAGACTTGCTTTGTAAGTGATTGCCACTTGACAGCATGATGGGCTATTCCATTTCATATCCGTACACCCCCTGTCGAGGATACATGTTTTTCATGGTTATACCCCTGAAGAATTTCAAACTCAAAACCTTTTACCCCTGAAGAATTCCAAAATTCCAAGCTCAAAACCCTTTACCCCTGAAGAATTCCAGGGATCCTCGACAGCGGGGTACGGATATTAAATGGAATAGCCCGATGTAAGGCTATAACTAAGCCAAACCTGAAACAGTTTTTGCATCAATTTGTGTCTGGATAAAAAATAAGTAGTGAATTTAAATACAGATGTTTCCTTGTCTGTTGCTATGTGAAACAATGTTGTTTGATCAATAACAATGCTCATTTGCTAAAAATATACAAGTATTGATTCCATTTCCAAACTATTATACTATGTGAATATATTGGCAATTAATTCAATTCTATATAAAAGGAGATGTACAGTAGAATTGAAATAGCTACCAGTTTCAATCAAATAACTACTTTAATTTCTGTATCAAGCCTCCTGGGTATTATTGTTTCCTAAGCATCATTGAGGGGGCACTTGTTGTTAATATATGCAAAAAGTCTGGTTACCATTAAAAAATGTCCATATTCAGAGTTACAATTGTACTAAATTTTATTAAAATACTGCAGAAATGCAATATATATCATGATTTTAAGAATTAATTGAGGGCTGCATGGTTAAAAGAGGAGGGGCCAGCCGAGGGGGGCTTATTTATTTTTGATTTTTGTATCCAAGAGGAGGGGGGGCTTATTTATTTTTGATTCTTGTATCCAAATGAGGGGGGGGGTGTTATTGGAGAGGAGCTTGAAGAGAAGGGAGCTAAATATAGATATTACAGTACCTCCATTCCTTCCTCTCCCTTCCCAAACATGCTGCAGGAGAGGGGGCAACTGCAGGGGTTAAAGCATGGATTGCAAGGTTGATATATTGCATGTTATGTACCTGGTAATATGGAGAAATGAGCTAGTAAATATATCCTTGCCTATAATTAGTTGCTGATTAAATGTTCAAAGATACACAGTGTGAAGCATGAAAAGCAAAAGGAAGATACCCACTGCAAGAATTTTTCAACAAATATATATGGATTTGTTCACTTCATTTCTTACTTTTGACACAAGTAATTATATTAATTATAATTACAAACACAATGTACTGTCATTTAAAGACTTTATATGTGCTCCATGTTGTATATATGTTAATGTAATATAATATAAAAAATAATGTGTTTATTGTTAAATATGTGATATATAATACCGTAAACCTCTGACTATATGCCCTGGGCTTATATTGTTTTGAAGCGATTTTTCATGGGCTTGGGGGGGGGGCTTATATGTATGGGGGGCTTATATGCATGGGGGGCTTATACATGGACAATCAATTGTGTTAGTAATAAACAAGTCAGTCACTCATAAACAGGAAAATAAACATGCATTAATAACACACTTCCATTAACATAGTAAGCTATAAAGACAATGACAGTGTTTCAAATATCGTTCTCTGCTATATTTAAAGACAATGTCAATGTTAAATAACATGGTGGGATACCGGGCTTATATTCAGGGGGCTTATATTCAGGGGGGGGGCTTATATTTGGAATGAGGTGAGCATTATATTCAGAGGTTTTATAATACAGTTGAAAAAAGCTTGTATTTTCTTGTCATAGACACACATTTCTGGGTGCATATAGAACAGCTTAAACGTCAGGTTCTCATGTCGATCCAATGGTCATTTGACATCGCTGCCATCACCATATATAGTGTAGCACAGAATGCTACTATAAACTCTTGACGAAGGGCCTTCGCTCGAAACGTTGAGTTTCTGCTAATTTTTTAAGGTAGTAATATAACCACTCAGCACAGCATTTCTACATTGGTACTACCTACACTGGTACAGACAGTTTTAGCACAGAATAGCCTTGTACGTATCATACTTTGACATACTATCTGTATCATGCATGCAGAAATGCCTTGGTCATTCATGTGGAGATATGACTATCACGATAGAATTAGTTACGCCAAGTAACATGTCGTACACGTCAGGTAGCAGCTGAAATATTTTAATATTTGCCATAACATGCCCATAACCTGTTGGCAAAACAACCAAAACATCTTCATCCTTTTACAATGGCCGAGATACATAAAATTTTGAATGTCTCGTCTTTTAACGAATATTCAAGCCCTCTTTTCGCTAGAACAGCTTTCATAGCTCTTTCAGTATTTGCCATTGAATATAATTTAATAGTACTACGATTTAAAGCACCTTTAAACGTATAAAAAATCTTTTTGTACACTATATTCTGATGAGAATCTTTGTTTAAAACAACATCGATTGTGAGCGTGTGCCCGCGCGAATTTAGTAAGCGGAATGAACAAAAGCAATAAAAGCGCATGCGCCATTTATCTCATTTTGGATAAAAAAAATTCGATTTCCCCAGAGTCATGCCACAACCTAACCCGCGAACAGGCATACTCTGGGAACGAGATTGCATGGTTCCGTGCAGGCTCACCTTTCTCCCAGTGAGCCTGTTCGCAGGCTACTTCGCTGAATGAAAGTGAACTCTCCAAATTATTGGCAGATAAGGATAGTGAAAGCACGAAAAAAGCCACAAAGGGGTAAATAGAAGTAGAAATAGAATATTTAACTGACCTTTGACTTTGTGCAAGGTGTTTGATATTCAAATTGTACTTTTCCTACTTCATGAACAGGAATCGTCTTATACGTTTCTCATGTCTTTAAATGTATAATAAAACAATTATTGGATTCGGCTTTCGCATGATATCAAGAATTATTCAGACCTCGGTCTATGTTATCCGCCTCAGCTTCGCTTCGGCAGATAACATTGACCTCGGTCTGAATAATTCTTGATATCATGCTCAGCCTCATCCAATAATTGCTTAGTATTTGCCGGTATATGGCCAATGATTAGAATTGTTATTGAAAAATAACAATTATACATGAATTCAAATAATTTGCAACAATCGTCTATCTACACTTTAATGAAGATGGTATGATCCACCGCAAAAAATGATGTGTAAATTTACCCAAGATTTTGCGTATAAATATCACCACATGTTATGATATATCAACATCACGATTAATGCTGTCACATGTTAAGACATGCTATACGTTAATACTGTAATAAACCATAAAAAATTTATATTTAAATTGAAATTGGCATATAACTTTTTTAGAAAATCTATCTCATTATTCGCTCACAAGAATTATCATCATTTTTATAATCATTTTTTGGCCAGAGACCGCCAGATTAATGCTTCCTACAATTTCAAGCTAGCGCTACGATAGATTCGGAGCGCTTTTTGATGTATCTATTTTAGAAGACAAGGGTCACGCGCGCAATGAGTTGTGGGATATCGTATATCAAATTTCAAGTGTGATTTGCAAATTTTCGACTTTTTCGTTTGAGTATATTTTGTCCAAGAAGAAGAGTCCATGGAATTTATCTTATTTTTTACTGGATAAGTGACTCCGAATCCTGCCGAAGGCTTATTGATCTCAGGTATGAAATATTATTGTTTATATCATATAATTATAACGTACATCGACCGTATTTACTCATTTTATCTTGTGGCTGTTGGTCTGTTGTAGTGTTGTGGCTGCTAAAATTTGAATTTGCGCGCGAGGTTTTATATATTGAATTATTTCATTTCAATGCCGTCAAATGTTAGTTAAAATCAACAATTCAAATTTTGAATAAACACATAGTAAATACTGGGTTTCACTTGTTTGACAAAACTCGAGAAAGCATGTTTGAATCCACATAGTATATAAAACAATATGTTAATATGAATATAAATATGGCTACATTGGTGATTGCTACAAGCCCAGTATTAAAGCCAAAACATGAACATTATTTGAGAGTATTAAACTTGAGTAAATCGCAATCTTATCTATCTGAATCATAAAATTGTTAACCCAATATATAGAATTGATTATTAAGATTATCAATTCAGTGCATATTTCTTGGTTTTAGCATGTAAATGGTTGACTAAATTAAGCATTTAACCCATTCAGCCAGAATGTGCCCCTACTTTTTTTCACTTGTCTAACGCCAGGTTTTTATGTGCCTGTTTATGTGATAATGGCATGGCTGGACAGGAGGTTTTAATCCAGGGGCCGGTTGTTCAAAGGTGGGTTAACGCTAACCCTAGGTTAAAATTTAACCTGCTGTTTTAGTTTGTGTATTTCTGCACGTCTGTTTATTTCAAAACTTCAGAGAAGAAAACTCCTATCAATCCAGACAAGATCTCTGAAGAAATATTTCCAAATTTATAGACAAGCTGTCAGGAAGTTTGCTTTGAATTTTAGCTTAACCTACGGTTAAGCTAACCCAGCTTTGAACAACTGGCCCCAGGATGGTGTGTTTATATAGACGGAATACACCCCGCCTGGCAGGGATGATAGAGTGCTTGTATGACAATTTCTTGTGCTGGCAAGTGTGATCCCGGCAACAAATAATGGGATCCTGTCTAGACCAGAAAGAAGTAGAATAATTCACTTTACTGTAAACAGTCGATAGAGTTCATATTGTAAGCTGGATCATGCCAAATGTCTAGCCTAGGATCATATTAAGTAGGCCTTAAAAGCAACTTATAATTAAATGGGTCTACATGACTGTATATTTACTGCAGACTGTATATTGTAAAAACAGTCTAAGCTTACAACAGCATAAAACTACTGAACTATTAACTATCATTAATAATGGTAGTAATATTCTTTTTACATGTTCATCCAAAGTTACAGTAAATTGAATTATCTTTAAAAAAAAACATTAATAAATTAGGCACCAGCAGTCCAGCACTCTCCACTTAGCCATGATGAGTAAAATGGTCTGACGCTAGACAGAGAACAATAATCTAGAGGTGGACGCCGGAGAGCCGGAGTTGGAAAACTCCGGAAAAAACTCCGGCAGACAAAATTATGAAAAATTATTTCATATTTCAACGAACATTTTGCATTAAATGGGAAAATTAACTGTTGTTGTTTACTAATGTATTACTATTTATCAGAGCACATCAGAGCACATTATTCAGACACATCATGGTCATGTTAACCCATTAAAACAGGTCGGAATACTTTTCGAGAAGTTTGGCTGGTCGCTGAGATGGGGTGTTAACTGGATATTACACTAGGCCAGACATTGCATAAGCCGCATTGTGCCACAACTTTATTGTTTAGTCGGTCTAATGTCAGATGATTTTACCTTTCAGTGCTATCACTCAATGTGTTACTGAAACAAGTAGCACTTGATTTAACCTCACTTGTATCTCCAATACAACTGAGGTTAAATCATAACCATATGAAATTAATGTTTTCTGGAATGAGACAATAGCATATTGAATCACAAATACCAACAACATTGCCCTTACAATTTATACCTATCTAATGGATTTGGCTGTTCAAAAATTCTTTCTCATGTTGTAAACTCTATCCTACATAACAGAATGATTACAAATAAATTATTGATTTCTTTTTGTGGGAAAATTTGAGTCACTATGGTCAATTTGAGTCCCAGAAATCATGGTCCCACAGTCAAAATTTCAAATTTTATCCCATGAAGTTGCATCGCACCCTTTATTGTATTCCTGTCTAACGCCAGACAATTTTATTTGTGAGTGGGAGAGTGATGGTGGTTAATTGGTTAAGGATGCCAAGTTATATCATGCTTTCAATAAATAACAGAGTTGCAACTTCTAACTTGCCCGGCGAAGTGAATATCATTGCCACAAAAAGCCGGGCATCTTTAAATTAATGTTTTCATTGCCGGGTAATTTTTTTATACAGTCCATGTTGTACTTGTGCATGGATTCAAATTTTGTTTTTTGGTGGGCCAAAGCTAGATCTGAGGCATCTAGAGCAGTGGAAGAAAGGGTCGACATGTTGCCCCCTTAATTTATACCCCCTACCTACAGTAGGTACCCCAGTGGCCATTGTCTGATGGCAAGTGAATTTTATTCAGGGCAACTAATTTTCCTATCCAACTTGGCAAATTGAACTTGCCCTAAGGACAAGTGGTCAAAATAGTAAAGTTATACCACTGACTACTGAGTAAAGTATATGAGCTACAGTATCATGGTAATAAAAAGTCTGGAATAAGGTATGCGGTTATTTTCAAAAAATTTACATCATCATTCATCAAATAGGTTGTTGAAGAAGTTTGAAGGAACCTCAATCAACCCAAAGAAGCAGAAGAAAGCGCATACATGTCTCTTGTTCCATCCATCATACATCCTTTTCATAAATGGCTGCCGATTAAAAATCTTGTATGTGCAAAAATTCCTTTGAAATCTTAACATGAGTACGAGGCTAGTTGGGCCAATTTATATGACCTTATATGCACATAAAAGAATTTTTAATCGGCAGCCATTTATGAAAAGGGTGTATTGTATTTCGCTCTGCATGTCTATAACCCCAGGGGATAGCTTGTTAGTGAAAACATGCATAAGCTGTTAATTCATGAGGGTTGTGTAGTTGTTACCAAAACTATTTTAATTTGTGCTTTTTTCCTCAAAAGGAAGGAGACACAGACTTGACTACCTGGCTACAAATGAGGCCCGCTGACATACTGTATCAGGGCTGATCATGACATGGAGCTACTGGCAACATTCGAGAATAGCGAAACCGTAAAAGCCATCGTTTACTTCCTGGCGTTGTTCTACTGTACCTGCCCGACGTAAGACTACCCATCCACTCATCCAGACTCAGCAGTCTGACATGGTAAAGGCTTTTCAAGAAATTGAACAATATTGCTACGTGTGAGAACTTTTACATTTATCTATCAGTAATTACTTTAATAACCTATTGATGTATAGCTGGTAAATATATTATTTTAAACATTCTTCTGTAATTGTTTTTATATTGTAGGAGGACAACAGCAAAAAATCATGCCAAGATTATTATTCTAGTTCAATATTGTCATTTAAGAAAAATATTTTTAAATGTTCTCGAACTAGAATAATTTTCTTAGCAGGATTTCAATTCAAGACAATTTTTCAAATTTTGTCCCATGGGTAAGTAAAATTTTCTTATTAAGATTATTTTTCTTATTTCAAGAAAATGTTCTAGCAAAATTTTCTTATTACTAGAAAATAATTCTTGGGAAACTGAGAATTTTTTTCTAGAAATAAGAAAATTTTGCTAGAACGTTTTCTTGAAATAAGAAAAATATTCTTGATAAGAAAATTTTACTTACCCACGGGACAAAATTAGAAAAATTTTCTTACCAAGAATTTTGTTCTAACCAAGAATTTTGTTCTAACCAAGATTAATTTTCTTATTTTAAGAAAAATTTTCTTGAAATCTGATTCTTACCTAGAATATTTTACTTACCCACGGGACAAGTAAAATTTTCTTAAAACAAGTAATCTTGTGCTTAAAATAAGTAATATTTTCTTAAAAACAAGAAATTGATTTTTTGCATTGTGTGCTCTAAAATTTAAATTTTCTTCGCTCGAAACGTCGAAGTTCTCCTTGTATTTTTCAGGTAGTTATATCCATATCAATGCGAAGTTTCGAGTCTTTAGTTTTTTCAATCTATTTCAGTGTAAAAAGTACCAAGTTTTCGACGAAAAATTAGATTTCTCCAGAGCTATGCCCATCACCCTTAACCTGCGAACGGGAATGCTCGGGGAACGAGATTGGGTTGCACCACTTTTGATTGCGAAATACCTGGGTTACATGAAGTCGCTAGCCAACTTAATCATAAGGTTATATATTTAAATGTGTAAAGAAACAACGAAAGATACATACATATTGTTGCGAGTTTTGGCAAGTTTGGGCGATTTTAGGCGATTTAAGAGAACTTCGCTCAATTCTAACCCGCGATTTAATGCGATTTTAGGCGAGTTAATGCAAGTTACCACCCCAGAGTAGGTCTTCGCAAACAGGAGTATATCAAAAGTTGACTTTTAAAAAACATGGCATTCTTCTGATGATGAATGTAAAGTAATAGTTGAAACGTAGACGGTGGAAATGTTAACAATTTACAGAGTCACTAAATTAATGTTTAATTTGTGTTTAATTAAAATACTCTATGGCAACCGTAATGCTTGTACTAATTTACGCATATTATATTAATTTGAATTTAGAGATTTGTTTTGCCGAGGAAATAAAATTGCCCGCTCGTTACAATGAAGATGAGTATAACAAAAGACTTGGTCAATTGTCATATGCAAACAAAAGTGAGGTTGTAATTTTGTTTTGCTCTATTAAGAGCTTAAGTTCTGTTGTTCAAACAATGGAAAGGGAAATAGCAAACTTTGATAAACTTCAGTTGATCGCCTCGGAATCCATAGGTCCGTCCTGGGTTTTGGAAAGAGTTTTCGCCGTAAAAACTAGATTCATGTGCATGGGGGTTATGGCAAATAGAGTGGAAGCCTTCGAAAAATACCTAGCAAATTTGAGCGTTGAGAAAATGGAAAACACGTTTTGGTTCAAACTTTTCTATGAACAAATCATGAATTGCACTTTCTGGAATACGAGCGGCACCATGCAAAGATGTAATTTAAGTAAGAAAATAGGCAACGCATTTTTGGGTAATGATTTGTACGAGGTTGCTGATAAAGTTATTGATGCGGTATATATCTTTGCTCACGGTCTCCACAAGATCCTTGAAACCAATTGCTCAAACATTCTCTTCCAAAGTTGCAAAATACCAGGCCAGGAATTACTCACCGTTATTCGTAACTCAAGTTTTTCGAGTGCTGATGGTCGAACAGTTTATATGGATAATAAAGGCGAAGTAAACGGAGGATATACACTTTATTACGCCACATCCGGTGAAAAGGAAAGTACACACAAGCTTATAAATATAGGTCAATGGCAAGATCGACTAAATATGAATTCCACTGCAATATCAAATTTGAATTTATTCTCCGTCAAAGCCCAATGCTCTGAACAGTGCAATGATGACCAGATTCAAGAACGCATCCATGGAAAACCGATATGTTGTTGGACATGCGTAAAATGCCCAGAAGATTCCATCGTTATGAACAAAACATCTTGTCATGCATGTGCACCGGGATTTTTGGCCGACACAAAAAGAGGCAGATGTGTAAAAATCCCGGAAATCTACTACAGTCTTGAGAAGCGTGTGTCGAAATTTCTAGTTGTTCCTCCGCTGCTGTTTTCATTTCTGGGAATACTAGGTGTCATTTTCACAATGTGTATATTCGTCAGATTCAACAGCAATCCTCTTGTCAAAGCTTCTGGGCGTGAACTGTGCTATTTGTTACTGACTGGATTGTTCTTATCTTTCGTGTTTCCAATCGTCTCTATCTTAAGACCATCACGCTTCAAGTGCCTTGCGCAGTTCTTTCTTGATAGCCTCCCAATCACAATATCGTTCGTGTCAATCGCAGTCAAAACCAATCGCATTTTTCGTATCTTTGATAAAAATCGAAGACTTAACAACCGCCCATTATTCATGCGTCCATTACATCAAATTATTTTATCATTCTTGTTCATCTTTATTCAAATTCTGATCTTGCTTATTTTGGTTATTGCGCAGTTTCCTGAAGAGAATTTAGTCTATTTCTCATTGACAGAAGTGCATCTTGTATGCAGCACATCGAAGGTCCAACTCCTCTTGTCGCATCTCTATAATCTAATCCTGATTGTTATATGTACATACTACGCCTTCAAAATTAGGCACGTTCCAGTTCCATACAACGAAGCAAAAATCATTGCGTTTGCAATGTATTCATCTTGTTTGATCATCTTCTCATTTATAATTATGTTCGCGGTGGCTGCAAGTAGAGGTGCAGATCGGATATTCCAATTAGCTATCCATTCGTACCGTGTTGTGTTAATTGCGAGCGTTATTCTACTGTGCTTTTTTGGTCCAAAAGCCTATTTAATTCTTTTCCACAATGGGTGCATTCCGAGCACTTGGTTGTCATCTAATCAGGATAGCAAAACTGGCTCCACTAGGCGGCGCGATGAAGCTCACTCGAGGTAAGTTTCTATTTTGAATAGATTGTTTCCATCTTCCTTACTAGTTAAACAATGCGGCTGATACATCCGAAAGAATGTCTGCAGAAGAGGTTAAAGGCCTCTCTACATGACATCAGGCGGCGTTTGTCATATATTTTTTAGCGTTGAGCAGAAATTCACTACGTTGTTTAGAAATGGACAGACTTAGCCCAAGCAGACATTTGCACAATTTTATAAGCTGCTTGACTTAGGAATTGCGGGAAAGGAAAGAATAAGTAAACGGCTTATTTGAAAGAAAAAATATTTTCGTAAAATGTACAGCAGTGAAAAGCGGTTGGCAATATATTCTATAAGAATGTCCGGTGGGCTAATCATCTTTTAGTGGCCGCTGAGAGTCAAACTGAATCAGAAAGACGGAACTCCAGCCGATCGCGTCGCGAAACGCTTGCTAGAGCGGCTCTGCCCCAGGCTGCTACCGCATGACTCATCTCTGATAACCGGGCACTTATAAAATATTACGTTAGAAGGACTAGTTTTGAAATTTATACCATTCAATCCATCATAATTCCATGCGTACCCACCAACAACTGGGATACGAATAGCGCTAGCATATGATATTTTTCTTCTACCAGACTTTATACAGGATGTATAAAAAAAACTGAACAGATTTGAAATTGCTGTCACTTTCGCAAGACAGCTATTAGTGTCCAGTTTTTGATAAATATAGTTTCTTTGGGTACTGATAATGTAGAACAATGAAAAAAATTTCTCGAACTCAAATTTTGTAAACCGGGTGGGGGGCTGTTTTTTTGCAACAAACTATAAATGGCTTGCGCACGGAATTTAAAAGCTTTAATCGCATTTTGAGTTAATTGATGGAAACTTTGTTGAGTTAATTACTGAACCAAATTTCAGACAATTTGCTTTAGTTTAAACCTTCAACTATTCACGCAAACTTACCTTTTTTCCTAAGAAATCAGCCTCTTGCATGCTTAATTAATGCGTTTGCCTAATTTGCTTATGTCAGGAATATGCAAATTAGGTAAAGACATAAATAAGCATGCGAAAGGCTGATTTTTTAGGACAAAATGAATAGTTAAAGGCTTAAACTAAAACAAATTGTCTAAAATTTTGTACATTGATTAAAAATCCAACTTTCCATCCAGTAACTCAAAATGTACGGTGGGGGCTCGTTAGGGACACGCTTGTTCCATAGAAAATCACATTCGTTCTGTGTTCTTGAAGTAGTTTTCCTTAATAACAGAGCGTTTCTGTATAAATGTGCGGCGTTTCCGTAGAAAATTCAGACGACTTCCGCAGAAATATAGACGCTTTCCGTACAAATGTAGACTTCTTCCGTACAAATGTAGATGCCTTCCATACAAATGCAATCTCGTTCCCAGAGTATGCCTGTTCGAGGGTTATGTAGTGGCATGACTATGGGGAAAATCCAACCTCGCACCCGGGGCTTTTTGCTTCCGGGGTTGGATGATCAGCGAAAAAGGCCCTGGCTTCGGCTGGTCTGTTTTGCAACCTGATTGGTCAATGATTTTGAATGTAATTATTCAATATATGTGGGAATAATTATTATTTTTGGTGGAACGAGAGTGGAGTGACAAATTTATAATTAGTTCTTGATGGACTAAAGTATTGAGCAAATAAGATTTTTGACATTTCGCTTGAGATGCAGCATGAATTAGGGATAGACAACACATCACAAAACAATTTGGTCCAAATTAAGTCTTTGTATATTTTGTATAGACGAGTATTTGCTTCGGTTCAACATATATTTCTCACATGCGTTGTTTGCACATCGTTGATTTCCGAAGAAACATACAGCGTTATTGTCAAATAAAGATTGTGATACAAATATATTTTGGTCATATTAAACACGATTTATATAAACCAAACGCTGAAGCGGTTTTGTTTTGTTTAGTTACTTATTACGTTATGTTTAAAAATCATCAATATTACGGGCTATGTTGCTGAATGAAGTGTGAACAACGAAAACCGAATAAATTCAACTAATTTTGTTGCTTTCCCTTTGATTATATACGCAGCATTGAGTTTGTTTACTCCTGTCAGTAATTACAATGTGTATAATTATTATATATACGTACTTATACGCATATATTATCATAATTGAACACCCCAAATACTGGAGATTTTGAGGTCATGTGACCGGCCGATGCCAGGGCCATTTTCGCTGATCAGAAGCAAAATGCCCTGGGCACGAGGTTGGGGGAAATCGAATTTTTTTATCCAAAATGAGATAAATGGCGCATGCGCTTTTATTGCTCTTGTTTATTCAGCTTACTAAATTCGCGCGGGCACACGCTAACAATCGAAATATTTGTTTGAACAGTTTCTCATCAGAATATAGTATACAAAATAGTTTTTTATACGTTTAAAGGTGCTTTAAATCACACTACTATTAAACAATATTCAATGGAAAATAGTGAAAGAGCTTTTAAAGCTGCTCTAGCGAAAAGAGGGCTTGAATTTTCGTTAAAAGATGAGACATTGTATCTCGGATTCTCGGCCATTGTATAAAAATGGTGAAGCTGCTGCTTGACGTGTACGACATGTTACTTGGCGTAACTATAATTCTATTGTGATAGTCATATACTCATATATCCACTAAATGCACTGACTGACTCACTGATGCGAGATCAAGTGGCTAAACTGAATGACCAAGGCATTTCTACATGCATGATACAACGCCATTCTGTGCTACACTATACAATGATGATGGCAGCGATATCAAATTACCATTGGATCGAATTGAGAACCCAACGTATAAGCTGTTCAATATGGACCCAGAAATGTGTGTCTATGACAAGAAAATACAAGCTTTTTTCAACTGTATACTGTAAACCTCTGATTCCCTGAATATAACCCTCAACTCATTCCAAATCTAAGCCCCCCCCCCTCCCCAAATATAAGCCCAGTAGCCCACTATGTTATTCAACATTGACATTGTCTTTTAATATAGCAGAGAACGATATTTAAAAACATTGTCATTTTGTCTTTATAGCTCACTATGTTTATCAAAGCGTGTTATTAATACATGTTTACTTTCCTGTTTATGACTGACTTGTTTATTACTAAACACAAAAGATTGTCCATGTATAAGGCCCCCTATATAAGCCCCCTATAATTACTTTTGTAATTATAATTATTTGCGTCGAAAGTAAGAAATTAAGTGACCAATGCCATATTTGTTGAAAGTTTAATTTGTTGCAGTGGGTATCTCCCATTGGTTTTTCATGCTTCACACTGTGAACATTTAATCAGCAACTAATTATAGGCAAGGATATATTTACTAGCTCATTACGCCATATTACCAGGTACATAACATGCAAAACATCAACCTTGCAATCCATGCTTTAATCCCTGCAGTTAGCACCTCTCCTGAAGCATGTTTGGGAAGGGAGAGGAAGGTATGGAGGTACTGTAATTTCTATACTTAACCCCCCTCTCTTTAAGCCCCTCTCCAATACCCCCTACAATGCAGTCCCATTCAATTAATTCTTAAAATCTTGAATTAAATTGCAGTCCCATTCCATGCAGTCCCATTCAATTAATTCTTAAAATCTTGAATTAAATTGCATTTCTGCGGTATTTTAATAAAATATAGTACAACGATAACTCTGAATATAGACATTTTTTAATGAAATGGTAACCAGACTTATTGCATGCATATATTTAGAACAAGTGCCCCTTCAATGATGCTTGGGAAAAAATAACACCAAGGAGGCTTGCTACAGAAATTATCAAATTAAAGTAGTTATTTGATTGAAACTGGTAGCTATTTCAATCCTACTGTATCTCCTTTTATATATAATTGCCAATATATTCACATAGAATAATAGTTTGGAAATGGAATCATTGCATGTATATTTTTAGCAAATGAGCCTTGTATTGATCCACAATGACTCTTATTGCAATAAACAACATTGTTTCACATAGCTACAGACAAGGAAATATCTGTATTAAAATTCACCACTTCTTTTTTATCCAGAGACAAATGTTTCATTAACTGCTACCTTGATGCAAGAATTATTTCAGGTTTAGCTTAGTTACAGCCTTACATCATGCTGTCAAGTGGCAATCATTTACAAAGCAGGGCTATAACCAAATGTTTTACAACCTGAGGAACTTCTTAAATTAATTAGTCTATGATTTATACAGATGCTACAAAAATCACCTCGCATCTTATATTTATTTAACTCCTTTTACAAAAGCACAAAGACCATGGGCTACAATATGTTGAGTGTCGACCATAATTGATAACGTGTAGTTAAGTGGCCTCTTAATTAGGGACGGACCATTAGATATTTGAGGGGGGGGGAGGAGTTGGACAAATACCAAAAAAAAATTCGCGAACAGAAAAAATTCAGAACAAAATATCGTGCACAACAAACCTACTGGGAAAAAAAATCGAGCAAGAACTAGGGCAAATTTTTAAAACCGTAACGAAATTGTTTTAAAACATTTAATTGGTGTTTTTCGAAAAATTTATGCTTCCTCTCCACCCCCCCCCCCCCCA